ACTTCAGCAACATAACATACATTACTTCCATTAAGAAGGAAAATAAGACTCAAAGGCTGGGGGAATAATCAATGGCATTTCAATGCCTGGATGAGATTTTTTTACAGACATTTTCTTTGCTGTGTGGTTTTCTGCTGTGATGTGACACAATTGCCTGTGCATGCACTTCATGAAAAGCATTTCATGACCCAGCTCTGCTTCCTTTTCAGAACTGTTTATGCTCTATTTGAGTCTCTGCAGATGTGTCAGAACAGAACAGGGAACAACACAGCTTTAGAAACAATACAATCCTTTGAAGAAAAAGTTCTGCAGAACTTCCACAAGAGAAAGGGCCAAACAGCCAGACAACAGCCAGTCTATTCTCTTTGGTGTGGCATGGTTTGACATGTCTGATACTCATTTCCAGCCAAAGATGAGTTCTATAATGAGAGGCCTTGATTCATTGCAATTCACCTGTTATCCCCATCCCTCTTCTGATGATCTCAGATCATTTCCCTTTCATGGGCAGTACTGCATTTATGTGAAGAGGTTTTTGCAGCAGGAGACTGCAGGGGTGGTTTCTGTGAGAAGACATCAGAAACTGCCCCTATGTCCACTCCAGACAGCTCCAAAATGGGCCCACCACTGCCCAAAGCTCAACAATGCTGGCGGTGCCTCCATGATAACAAATTCAACAAGGGGTAGAGGCTGAGAGAGAGGCACGAGAAAATACAGAAGAAACAGGCCCACAGATACCAAGGTCAGAGAAGAGGAGTTGCCACAGATTCTGGAGGACTTGGGGTGCCCCAGGTTCAGAGAGGCAGCAGAGGTGTGGAGGGCAAAGTTGTGAGGTCATGTTTAACCAGCCAATCAATGTCCAAAATGAAACCTCTAAGCCCACATACACAAGCATTGTGCCATCTGAAATTACATCTGCCTCTTGAAGACAAACAAATTGCTGTACAACAGAAAGGTTATGGGTGGCTAGAGCATGAATGGCAAGGGTATATTCTTCTAAAACTGACAAGGTAAACTGAGTTTTTAGAAGAGTTTTGAGCAGCCAAACTGCTGAAATTTCTCTGTCTATCATTCCAGAAATTCAGGAAGGTCTAGATCTACTCTAGATCTACTCTACTCTGTCTATCATTCCAGAAATTCAGGAAGGTCTAGATCTACCTTAACTGTAGGGCCCACAGTTAAAAAACTACACTTAGTCATTGGAAGCCCAAGAGAGACAGCAACGGGAGCAAAGAAAGGCCGTGGGCTGGACAAACCCCAGGATTCCCAGCTCTGCACAATGCCTCTCCACTGCAAGTTGCAAGGCACAGTTTTCCTGCACTGGCCATCCCCCCACACCAAACATCATCTTCCCCATTTGGGGTGAGCAGTATCACTGGTTTCCCTGATTTTTGCAGAGCAGAGGGATATGCAATTCTACTGGACAAAGCTGTGAAGATGCCCATCTCCACTGCCTGCAGACTGGTGGTGCAGCAAGGCAAAGAGCAGCAGAGCACAGATTTTCTGGGGACAGTGCATCCCTACATGAACACTGGGACTGGAATCTGCTGGAATGCTGGACTTGAGATTCAGCAGGTTCCTATAGAGCTGCAAGGCTAATTAATGCTCCCTGGGGGCACACTCCAGATGGAAGGGGAAAGTGAGAGACAGAGAGCCAGACAGGCCAACACTTCAGACATCTGAGCCAGCTGGGCTCCGTGGGCAGAGCTTTCTGCTTGCCACTTTCCCCAGTGAGTCTTGCCTGCTCTGCAGCACCACACCAGGAGAACCTGAGACAGCAAAGCTCTGGTGTCCGTGCAGTTCCCTTGTTGCAACACATTGATCAGAGCTCTCTTAAAGAAAGTGGCCTGGATATCTGAGACACCTATTGATTGCTCCATTGGCTCTCTTCCTGCCCTGATCCTCATTCACTCAGCATTGCCTGAATAACCTGCACTTCTATGTCAGGGCCAGTCTCTCTGGATCTTAAAGGGCTACATTCACAGCTTTCTGCCCAGCTGCAGCCTACGCAGGGAGAAGAGATGTCTGGTGACCCTTATATGCAGTCTCCAAGTGGAGGATTCAAGTCTCCTGCAGCATCAAGCTGAGCATTTCAAGTGCAAAGCAGACCTTGAAGTCATGGTTATTTGTTTTTTGCCATTTTTGAGAACTGTTGCCTTCTGCTTCTAGAACAAGGTAACGCCACATGCCCAGCAGGCAGGAGATGGCATCATGTATGGCAACAATAATCAGGAAAATGAGAAGAAATCATGAAGCCCTTAACTAATTACTAATGGAATATCATATTCTTCTTGAGCAAAAGCATAGTTTCTTTACCCAGAAACATCCCCACTGAGTTACAAGCCCAGTGGCTTGCCCAAGGACATCAAAGGGAAAACTGAAGAGAAGAACTGATTTCTAGATCTTGCCTTTAACCAAAAGACTGCTTTCCTCCAAACTTTTGATAATCAAGCAGGACAAAGAACCATCAAGAGACATCTTGTCCTAATGAGAGTTTGGAGACTGCAGAATAGGCTCTCTGGAGAAACCAAAACATCAGGGATTCTTAAAAACAGTTAAACAACTAGAATGGTACAGTTGGGAACACTCGTGCCTTGGCAGAGAAAAGGGATGGATGAGCTAACAGGATAACAGATCAGAGATGGAAAAGACCATTGAACCTTTTCTAATCTGAAATCCCTTGTCAATTCTGCATTTTGAGCAATTCAAACAATTATGGATTTGTTCTTTCTAGAAACTCTTGGCTCTGTGGAGACCAAATCGTGTGACACCATTTTTCTCCCTTCTTGGATTTGGCTTTTAAAGATGTGTATTGATTGAATTCTGTATACTAATACTTTGTGCTTCCACCAAGCTTCACATAAAGTTAACTAATTGGTCCTCACAATTATTTTGCAAAGCAAAGCAGTATGACCCTTATTTCTCAGCTTGGGGTACTGAGGAAAAGAAAGAAAAAAAGATGCCTGCCCAACATCACTTGACCACTCTCTGTTAGGACACAGGACCCCTATTTGCAGATTGCTAGGGTAGTCTCCTCTGCTCTTCTTGATATTATCATGTGCTCCTCTGCTCTTCTTGATATTATCATATGCTCTTGTATCCCATTGCTATCAATAAATCTTTATGCTGTATTTTCCACAGCTCTAAATATTATGGGCAGGATCATAGATACACTAACATCAATAGCAAACCACCCTTCCCCAGTGACTTTAATGATGCCTGATCAATCCCTATATGAATAACTAAATACACTTCAGCACAAAAGCAGCCATAGAGTCAAATTTCAATTTGCCACGGGTAGTATCCCACAGAGTTTGGGAGTTCAGGCACAGCACAGTGTGAGTGAATTTACACTGCTTTCCAGACTAACTCTGATCTGGAAGGAGTTAACTGTTTTCACAGAACTTGGAGGCTAAGACATAAAACCCTTCACAGGACCCTGCTCTGAACAGTGCTGAACTCCCGGAACTGGAAGCAGAGATGCCCTGAGCACACAGCCAGCACACCAGCACTGCCTCCTGTGACTGCTCCCCCAGCTGCCAGCTCCAAGAGGCTCAAGTGCTCAGAAGCAGGACAGCACAAACACTGGCAGCCAGCAAGCCTGAACCTGTGCAGCTGCTCTGCAGAATGCCTGGAGCCACTACAGGCGTTTAAGGTTGTTTTGTGGGATTCATATGAACAGGCTACAGTGCATTAACAACCTGCACTGCCACTAAATCCAGTGTCACCAGTGTATATTGGCTTTAGTGGGTAGTTGGATACATCCCCTCCTTGAACTACCACATGAAGAGAAGCAGGTTTCCAGCAGTCTCTAACTACAAAGTAGGCGCCTCCCTCCCAGTAGGAGATCAAGATGCTCTAAGTCTACCACCTTTACACCTAGGTCAGGAAGGGCCAAACTGCAGAAGCTTGCATCTCCTCCTGTGGTAACTGGTATGCTCTAGAAGAAAGATATTTAACCACAGAAACTACACATCCATCAAAGAACAAAATGGGTTTAATGTCTAATCCACATTCTTAACAACACTGGCTGCCATCAACCTGTCTCTCAAAAAATGAGAGAGCTCTAGTGAGAAGCAATACACACTCAACTGACATTGTACAATTTACTACCAGCTGCTGTGATGTTATGACCTGGAAGAAAGTTGTATGCTGGCATCTTGGTTCCAGCATACAGGACTCGTGCATAACCACAGCCAGCAGCTGTTTCTTGTGGTTAAGCTGAGAGGATCTCGCTCTGCTGGCAGAGTAATGCAGAGGGCTATGTGCAGTGCTTCTCCTTCCTTCCCCTCCTCCCCTCACTGCCTTTCCCAGAGGGACCCAAGGGAAACAAACCTTTAAAGTCAATCCATAAGAATGTGTTTAATTGCCACTGAATTCCCTGTGGTTCCTCTTGAATGGACAAGGATTGAAAAGGGGGGTGTGGGAGGAAAAACAGCACAGGAGAGAAGCTGAACACTGCTCAAAGAGTGCTGAACAGATCAATAGGCTGAGCAAAACACAGACTGAGTATGCAGGGCAGAGGACCCACAGCTCCCAGACAAACCTGTGCTACCAACCATCTTCAGAAAGTCTCCTGAGTGGTAATGCAGGCAGACTTTCATTGCACACTGTGCCACAGCTATGCATTAACTCCATCCTTCCCTTATGAAGAGCTGCCAACCTAGCAATGAGAGCCTCTCCTCCTCAACACCAAAAAATTACTAGAGTGCAAGAAGAGAAACATCCTCCAGCCCAGGGTTCCTTTGGGAAAGGAAAGGGTCTGGCACCACCAGTTTCTAGTTGTTTAATAACAGAGCATGAGAGCACTGACTAGAACCACTGTCCTCTCTGGACTGCCTTCTTGGTCACTGCCCATCCTGACTCTCTAACAAAGCCTGTAGAAGGACACATTCAGAAACACAAAGAGGCCAAGCATGTAGTTAGCCTGGGAGATTCTGTAATGTCTGGAATCCCAGGCACTGTCGGGACAGAGAAAAATTTTCATTCTGTCTCTGTCTTACCTTCTTTTAGCATCCCCACTTTGAGGCATTTCATGAAGCGACAGGCCTGACAGGACTTGCGCCTCCGTTTCGTGATCTCACACTCATTGGTGGCCGGGCAGCTGTACTCAATATTCCCTGAAAGCAAACACAGACATGGTCACCCAGGAATCATGTTCTCCCCATGGATGCAGGGACAGTCTGCAGTGCCCAGATATTTCCACCACCATCAGTCTGTAAATGTTGCATGTTTGCTCATTCACTTACACACACATCCTCTGGGACTCTACCCGGCTGACCCAGCCAAGGGGATGACTGCAGTGCTGGGCTTTCAGGCACGTGTCCTCCAGGCACGTTGTCATCCCTTGTGCTGCACTCCTTGAAACCTGTGCTGTTCCCTGAAGTCCAGGGGTGAGAGTGGGAGTAGTTCAGACATTGCTAGAATTTCCCTTGCTGCCAGTCTTGCTCCATGACTGTGGGACAGATGTCACCTGCGCTTTCTTGTCCTGCTTGGGCAACCAGGGAGCTCAGGGACAGCAGTTTCTCCTTTGCTTCCTCCTGCCAGCTGGCATACTACAGGTAGCAGGAAAGCAATAGGTCTGCATTGAAAAAGGTGGGTAACATGTCCTGCAAAATGAACATGAGTTCTCTGTGCAATCTTTACATTTTTACTTTATTAGTCCTTGTGCACCTGCTCTCATCCTCTGCATAGGATTCTTTCCCTCTTCCCACTTTCCTCATTCCCTTTTATTTATGATCACCCCTCAATACTGCCTATAAGACAAAATGAGAAAGAAGCATCCCAAATTTATTTCTAATCACATCGCATTTTATTATAAGCCAAAATATAACCAAAACATGGATGCAAGGATCTGATAAAAGGGTGTAAGTGGAATATGCTGGAACACAGTGTAAGGCAACAATTATTTAGTACTAGAAGATAAAAAACAGAATCCTGCCATTCACTTTGAGCTGATGTTTCTGAAGAGGGCTGATGTTTCTGAAGAGAGCTGATGTTTCAATGTTTGCTGTGCAGTTGGACTGGAAATCTAGACTTGGCACTAATGCATTGACAATGACAATACATTTAAGGCAGTCTAGTTACTGGTAAATCAGGCAGGACTGAAAAAGGTACCTAAGCTCTACATGAGTGGAACAATAGAAAAGCTGGTTTAATGATTTAGAGTAGGAAACTGAGGTTTGAGAGTTCAATCAGACCTGCAGGGAGAAGTGTAGGTAAGAGCTGAGAGAACACACAATATGGACTTTGTATAGCATCAGATTAGAAGTATACTTTACAGTTTAGTAATACTGGGACAAGACTTGATTTCTATTCCTACTTTTGTAATGGATTTTTGTATTTTGGGCAAGACCATTCCCTCCTCTAAATAAAGATCAACAATCTGAAACATATCAATCTCTGGAGGTGGTAAATAGACCTTGGGGTTCACTAAGCCATTGGAAAGCCCCCTAGATTTCTGAGTGGAAAAACAGAGCACGGAATCAAAATAAAGAAAGCATCATTTGATTCATCTCATTATTCTTGGCCCATGCTGAGTGAAACTCCAGGAGCACACAACCACCAAAGCCTAAAAGTGGTCAGCCTACTAGCTATAAAGATTCTTCCTCTCACTTCTTGTTTTGTCATAAGACTTGCAACTTCCCCCTAAGCTTCAGCCCAGCCACCCCATTCCTCTCACCACTGCTCATCTGCCCCCAAATGCAGTTTGTCAGCAAGAACAGAGTGTGCTGCACAAGTTGCTTCCACTCAGGCTGTATTTCGTCATCGTGCAGCATCTGAATTTCAATAGCCAGCCATGTATCAACATTCTCAGAGAGCTGGAAATTGAGATTCAAGCTAGATCTCAAGGTAATAAACCAATTCCTGTTCTAGACACAGAGCTCCAGCACATTACAGACCCATGAGTATGGTGGCCTTGATCTCATGATCAGATGCTTGCTGTGCCCCACACAGGAAGGAACAGAGCAGGAGCAAACCTGGGAAAAATCTCAGACACAGTCTCACTTTTTTTAGCCTTTGTTTGAATGCCAACCTTTCTCACCAAAGACGTGATCAAAGCTCTGGAGAGATGCTAGATTTCATGTTTTGTGGTCAAAAAGCCAAAAATTTGCCCCCTAACACAGTGACACTACAGTAGGGACACTGAGCCTTTATAGCAGTGGGAGACAGTGACAGCTCTCATCTGGAAGCTCAAGTTCCCTCCATAGTGTCAAGCAGATCCCCAGGCTTCCCCATGCCTCTATTCCCTGGATCCTTTGGCAAGCATAGACTGGAAAGAGTCTACAAATCCTACACCACAACTAAATGGGAGAGTGTGAGAGATGTGTAGGTACTGGTTACCATGTACACACTCCATGTGCAGCTCGAACAAGCATCTCTCAAACACACGTCTGTGCTGGGATCGTGATTGCTAAAGGAGCCTCAGAGGAGCCTAAGCACTGGGAGCTTTTTATCACACCACAAAAGATGCTGTGCACTGCAGAGATTGAGAGCCACAGCTGGGGGCAATGCCTGCCATTACTGCAGAAAGCAGGGGCATCACTAGGGAAGGCACAATCAGCATTACCCAAGCAGAACTCGACCAGAAAAAAACCTGTCATTTCCAAAGTTTACCAGAGTTCTTGGATTTTTTTTTTTTGTGTCTCAATTTCTTTTATGGGTCCTGGGGCTGGCTGCCAGCACAGTGAGTTGCTCACAGCTCCCTGTAATTTCTGTAAGTGCCCTGTGATAAAGTGATGAGATTAACTCATCGAAATTCCAACAGCCTCCCAGTGGCTGGCAGTCACATCAGCAGCCCAGCTGCCAGCACAGGGGCCTCAGAGAGAGCCTCCCTTCACTGCAGCAGCTGGGGATGCTGCAAAGTCCTGCAGAAGAGTGTCAGCACACAAAGGTGCACACAGACATGGACAACTCTGTATGCAACTGCAAAACGTGAGTCAAGTCTCTGTGCGTCATGAACTGTAGATTATGTGCCCCAGAAGAAAGGGGGGAGGAAAAGGGGATAATTCAATAGACAAGGCCCTGCTTTGAGCTGTTGCTTATTAGAGAGATTTCCTTTACTTAGAAAATATTTACATTTGATCTTAAAAAATGGTAGAACCTCAGCGAAGCCATGGCACAAGATTTACCTTGAAAATGGCTTCAAAAATCAAGTGGTAGGTGAACAGATCAGAGTTTGGATTTCTTCTAAGCCCTCATATATCACCTTGTAGGTCAAATCACTTCCTCACTATGTCCTAGTTGACTCATCTGCAAAATGAAATGAACACCAAACCTACCTTCTGGAGAGATTGTGAGTCTTTATTCAATAAGGTGTAACTGTACTTTAAAGACCTTAGATGAGAGATGCTACAAAACAGCAAAGGACTATTAAAGTGATAGATCATGCTTCTTTATGCTGGAGAACTGCAAAACTACCCTATTGTCTGCAAAATTAGACCTCTGACTGTTAAACAATTTGGAACATATTTTCTAGTGCACATATAATTAGTAGCACTCAAAAATTGTACACCAAAACTTCAAGAGACCCTATATTCACCCTACCTCTCTGGAACAGGATGGACTGGGAAGACAAGAATGCCTCCCTGAGCTTGGGGAGCACAGAAAAATCCCACCCATCTCCTGCTTAAATTAGGGATAGGGTTCTCAGGAGAACAGAGCTTGAAATCAGTACAGCACTGGGGACACAAGCTACTCCCTGCTTACTGGTTCTACCTTTCTAGAAAGCCTTTCTGCAAGGAAACTCAGGAAAGACTGGATAAAAATAGCCAATAAAGTCCTTAAATAATTTTCAGCTTCTGATTGCTGAAAAAAGTCCATCTTGCTTTTTCTTGTTTCTTCTTCATTGCTCTTCACTTCAATTAGTCCTTCTAGCTGAGGCATCACAGCTCAAGCCTTGGTGTGAGGAGAGGTACTTTGTGAAAATCAGAGGAATATCTCTCAGTGATATGCATGAGGTAAGAAGGGTTATTTTTTAAGCCTCAGCTTTCAAAGAAAAGGATTCAAATGATGCTACAAGGAAAACAGGATACATATAGGTGTAACACCAGCACTGTTTGCCTCCTCAGGGTGGCACATCTGCCTCCTGCTCACAAAAGAAGGCTTGGACATTTCACAAAACCTCACTCAAATCAGCCTCCTGCTTGCATAAGCATGCAGGATGGGGATTCTGGGGCTCCCTATCAGCAGCAAATTCATCTGTAGGGTTTCAGGCACAGAAATATTTTACAGAACTTCCACAGAAAAGATCCTTCTGCACAGAGCTCGCTGTGCAGATGTACTGAAGCAAACAGAAAACACTACGTTAAGAGAGCTGAGGTTGCACTGAAGATGGTTTTTTAAATTCAACTGAGCTGTGAATAGTAAGCAGCAGTCATGCGCCAGATCATGAAATACTGCACTTTCCCTGGGTAAGCTTTAGAAGTTTTTGGAAAACTGTGAACTCCCACCTGAAAAGCAGCAGGCACATTTCTGAGAAGGACAGATGGACAGGATAGTTCCCAGCTGATGTGGCTGCTACTGTAGGGACACAAAACCTCCTTTGTGAGTGTGGATTGTAACACTCTCCTGCTCAGGAAAACCTCTGTCAACCACTCCTCTTCCTAGGAGCCACTCCAAGCACCACAACAAGAACCAGAAAGCCCTAGAAGACTTTATCACAAGCCTGTTATAAATCCCCACAAGTCTTCTGAGCTGCATTATCCACCTTTTAAGCCCCTTATTGGTGTAAAGGAATCCCAACACAGCAGTTCTGTTGCTACACTCAGCTTGAAGCTGCAAGACTCAAGCTGCAAATTCTCAAATGCAGGCACTTTGCCTAACACAATTTTCCTATCCAGAAGATGATGGCAAATGTGTCTCTTTGAATGTTTTACTGAGCTTTTGAGTTTTTTATTTTATAATAATGGGTCATTTTAGAAATAGCCTTTATTTTCACCATTTGAAGATGAAAAATAGATGCAAGGTACTCATAGTCATGAGCATATTGAATAAGAAAGGACTCATATCATTACACTGCACTATTATTAGATAATATTCAAAGTAGGCAAAACTACCTACTAGTCGTAACAGTTTATGAACAAAAGAGAATGACAATATATTTGACTGATACATAATGCTCTACTTACTGAGCAAACTATTAAGAGAACGAATAGACTTTGATTGAGAATTTATATCCTGTAAAAAATCCAGTATTTGCCTTTGTCTAAATTTGGATGAAAGGATTTGTTATGATTTCCATGAAACAGAAATTTAAAAAGCTTTTATTTATAAACATCCAAAACTATGTTTTATGTAACAGACCCATTCCTTTACATTCAACTAGTAGGAAATCTTTCGTTTCAAATCAGACTTCTCTTGAGCACCAATGACAGCACACTTAAACGTGTCTGAAATCAGATTCTCTCCTATCTGCACTTGATTGCACATCCCACAACATTCACAGTCAGGTGAGGTAAATGCAAACTGCTACTAGAATATAATTCTGTGAAACAGTACAATGATAGAGAAACAGGATTAAAATTTTGTCAGCCTAGCTGAGACTGAAAATGCTTCAGGTCAATTTAGGATTTCTGACTGCTTCAAAGCACAGGAAATACAATCCTGGGGTTCAAAATATCATGTTCAGAGAGAAAGACCTGCAGCCCAGGGATGTGTTCCCTTACCTCACCTCAGGTTTTCACTTTTGTCTCAAGCATTGCCAACACTGCAAAGTGGAAATGCCACACCGGTTTCCAGGCCTTGATCCTTGGGCAATGTAACACAACACAAGAAAGGACAGAGGTGGGACACGTTAAGGGTGTGTTGGGTGATCCTGTCTTCCTGTCCTAGCTCAGGAAAACCAAACATTCCATTTCAGCTAGAAGACAATCAGTGGTTTGGATTCTCCTGCCTTCTTTTTTTTCTCCTATCATCAAAATTTTTCTTGAGGAAATCTGACTTGATAAAAATTCCACTTTTCTTTGGAAAAATCCTACTGACAGAAAACTCCCACACAGCAATGTTAGTGACCTCAGAGATATTCAGCCATGTCCGTGCTGGCTGTCACTCTATCTTCTCCCCATCATTTGAAAAGCAGCAGCCCTTGTGCTGTCCGTGACAACCTGGCCTCACCTGGCCAAGTGAAAGTCAGCTGCAAAAAAGCCATCATGCTTAAAGAAGGTCTGCAGCTTGGATGTGCCTTCTTCCTGCTGCTGCTAGAGCAGCAGAGGGAGTCAAAAGGCCGTTGCAAGATACTCTTGCCTCAAGATATGCAGGTTTTATGTGAGTTAATGCAGCTTAAAAAACTGTAATAGGCATGGGGTAATTTGTAACGGGGGGAGAGGGCAGGGCTAGTTGGCAGTGGGACTTGATGTGAAGCTCTGCTTCATGATCAGGGGTATCTAGATAGGGCAGCAGTAGTTTAGTAACTCAGCACAGATTTAGACCCATTTTATGGCAGCATGCACATGTAAGGCCAGCAGAGTAAGTACTGTCATAGTATTCATTAGTTTTTCACCTGTCAATACTCAAGCACAGAGAAGTGAAGTGACTTGTCCAAGAGCACAAAAGCCTGATGATGAATTTACCTATTCCATCTCTTGAGCATCTGGGAAGTCCTGGGATTATTGCTCCACCTCAGTGCTCAAACCATTGAGTCAATGCCACCCCCACATACTGAATCATGGCAAGATTTTGGTACTAGGATACTGGGAAAGCAGTTATACAACATACACATCTGCATCCTTTCTGCAAAGCCTACATCAGTGCTGGATGAAGATGTTTCACTTTGTCTGTTAGATGCTTCAAACAGCTACTGAATACAACAAAGTTGTAGCATAAACACCTTTTGGAAATGCTCTTGCCACTTGCCTCCTCTTTCCTTCGATCCTTAAATCCTTTCCTCTGCACACCCAGGGCTATACTTGGATATCACTCCCACAGCAGCAGAGCCCTGGGAACAGTGCATTTTCTTGACTCTACCAAACTCTGCAGACCTGTTTGCTGCCCACTTCCCTGGGCTCAGCCTTCAGCTCCATAGCTGAAATTGCTCACCCTCAGGCACAGCACACTTGAATCTCTCTGAGAAATAAAAGCATTTTGGTACTTCAGTTGCCAGCCCAAGCTGATGACAGGGTGAGAGAAATTTCCACTTACTCCTTTATCCCCCCCGTCTGCTACATGTTAACAGGCAATCAATTAGGGAACCACAGGGAGAAAGAATATGGCTCTGCTAGGGAGAGGAAGATGGAGGGAAGCACTCTCCCCTGTTGGGATTCAGTCAGCTGGCATATCACCTGGCTGATACAGGCTCCATGTGCTGCTACCATGCACTATTTACTTTTGAAGAGTTTTCAGAGAGAAAGTTCCTATGTCTTTTTCTTCTTCTCAAGATCTCTTCTGCTCTTCCACAGAGGTCCTCCAGTATCACTTCCATGAAGGGTTAATTATCTGGTCTTTCCCTGCATTAGAAGACACCAGGACTTTGCTTCAGAGTGCTACCCTGTCCCTGCTTGAGCACCTGAATGTGCCTAAAAGAAACACTAGGAAGGGTCCAAAGGCTGGAGAAGGGATGGAGTCAGTGCTGACAGAAATGCAAGTAAAAGTTCACATCCAATCACAGAGATTCAGCAATGACAAATCACAGAAACCCTTCCAGGGAACAGGCCAATGCCCTAGACAGGGCCATGGTGTAATAAAGAAGGAAGTATCAGTGAGGCAAAGTAGTTATTTCCACAGCTAGATTTCCACATTAAGGAGAGATATCTGAAATCTATGAAAACAAGATAGATATAGTGACTTTTGCAGAGACCTGGGATAAAATGCACCCTGTACTGCTCAAGAGTTGAACATCCCCAGCAACATAGTGTAATCAGTTCCATTCAATTAACAAAGTGAGTGGTCTCTCCACATGTGCATTTCTTTAATTTCACAGAGGGCAAGGAAGTATTGATGTGGTGGACTAACCCCAGCCAGCAGCCAAGTACATGCACAGCTGCCTGCTAACTGTAGAGCTGCCTTCAGTCAGCACTCCATATTTGGGCAAACCCAATACACTTCCCACTGGCAGGTGAATGATCCTGTCCTTTTTCCAGTTAGTGGAGGAAATAAAGGAGGAAATCTGTACATCCAGGCATGTTTGCTCACATGGGCCATGTGTATATAAGTATACCCAAGCATCCATGTATATTGGAAGTTGTTTGGATGCACTCCTGCTTTTGATTATATTGTAGCTGCACACGTGCACATCTGCAAGCACACTTTTGGCAGTCAGGACATAGCCATGTTCCTCATATGTGAATTATACATGAAGGAGCAACACACTGCAATTCATCTACACATGTGTGCATTGAGGTTTTCAAAATGACCTGAGGAATTGCTCATCCTAAGTGAGGCTGACAAAAACTTCATCTTCTTCAGTGCCTAGTTTTTTTAATCTTCAAAGAATATGCATCCTAATGAAAAAGGTTGGTGAAACTGGAAAAGGAGAAAAAGACTGACAATCACAAAAGTTCTCTGTCCAGATTTGTGCTGAGGTTTGTACGGAGTTCATTGCTACATATCAGGACTAGTAGGACAGTAGAATTTCTCTACTCTTGTAATGCTGGAGCTTTCACCCCAAGGTACAGATATGACTACATAAATTCCATTTCTTGGCAGAAGCATCTACTCTTCAAATGGGCCTTAAAACACCACTAGAAGGCAAAGCACTTCCTGTCCAGGCCTTACTCCACTAGCTGCCACATTCTCATAGTATCAGTGCCACTAGCAGAGGCAGGAAGATCCACTAGTCCAGATACCCAGATCTGGTAGCCAGTCAGGCATGGAATTTAGCAAAGGTTCCTACCATCACATAGTCTAACTCCATGTCCATGTTGATATGGAAGACCCAGAACTGAGCAGGAGGAGAGAGGAAGCATACAAAAGGATGGAGAGTGAGGGGCATTACATTCATTCTCCCTTTCCCCCTTTTATATGACACCGCAGTCTCAACTAGGTCTGGGGCCATGTCCCTTTATTTCTATGGAGTGAATGCCTCAGTTCCCACCATACCTTGAATAGTCCTCTTGAAGAAGGCTTTACACGCCTCGCAGGAAGCCACGCCGTAGTGGTACCCCGAGGCGATGTCCCCGCACACCAGGCACAGCCTCTTGGGGATGGCGTTGAGCATGTACTCGCACTTGGTGGGCGAGTCCTCCATGATGGCGCTGGCGCAGTCGTCGTAGCGCTTGCGGCAGGACCCGCCGCCGATGCCCGTGCCATTGAACATGGGTGGCGAGTCCAGGCCATTGGGGTGGCCCCCCATGGCCATTCCGTAGCCACCGCTGGCGTCGGAGGAGCCGCTTGGGCTGTGGTGGCTGATGGCGTCGATGCCGGAAGACGGGCTGGAGGGCTCAGTCTTGATGAAGGACCCACAGCTGGAGGAGAGGTGCCGCTCCTCCGTGGCCATTCTGCCGAGCAGCCTGCAGGGAGAGAGCAAAGCACTCAGCAACTGCCTGGTCAAACCCCATTCCAGGCTTCCTCAAAAGAGGGCCCTCCTTTTGCCACCTCAGTCCAACTCCAGTTGGCTCGGGCAGTTCAACCCCATGCAGGCTCTTCTTGAGGAATATTGGTACAATTGACTAAGACCAGCCCGCCTGCTCCCCACAGACTCACACTAGAGTAAAGACAAAGCTCTTTGTGTAGATCATAATTTCAGGCTCTTCACAGGCTGCAGTGCTGGGAAGGAGCATGAGTGCTGATGAAGCAGTCTACCCAGAGCACCATCTACCCTGAGACAGCAGAAGGAAACAAGCTTCCCTGTGGCAGAGCAGCTGAAAAAGGTGTTTGGTAGAGAATGGGCAGTCCTAGCTTTATGCAAAAGGTTCAGTAGCATGCTCTGCAGAAAGGACCTGCTCAGATTGGATTTTAATTTTTTCATTTGTAATACAGAAGTCTTTGATTAATTTTCAAGTTTGACTCCTTCTCTCACCATATCTCACCCTTTACCCTGCCCTGCTGCACTATCATACTAAAAGAGGAGCTTCAAAACAGAAGGAAAAATCATCTGCTCAAAAAATCATCTGCTTAATCTTAAATCTTAATCTTTCTTCTATTTACTAGTATTGAGCTTTTGCATGGCCATACAAATTCCCACTTCTTAAAGAGGGGTTATACTCTAAAATTTATGGAAAGAACGTCACCATTTCAGTTCAGGAAACAACTTTTCAAGCATTTTGTATTTATTTTAGTCACAGATAGTCTTATTCCTTTTAAAAGTGTTCAGTCTTTTTTTGGAAGACTGTAATGATATTTACAGCAATGAGTTTCAGGGATTACTTGTGCGGTGTATGAACAAATCCCAGTTTTATTTGCCTATAATATATTCACAGTCTGTCAGGATCCCTGAACATCTCCTGACTCTCCTTCTCAGGAAATGTAGTTTTGCCATGTTCTCCTCATTCAGCTTTTCATTATCTATATGATTGCTCTCCATGCAGAATATTTTGCAGATCTCTTATCTGCTTCATCATCCATCTCTGAACTTCCTCTAGTCTGGCTATTTCTGTTCAGTCCAGAACAGAGTTCAATGAGCCAGCTCCTCAGCAGCATGGAACTGGCACTGCTCCATCACTTCTCCAGCTGAAGGTCTGGACAGTAGTCAAGGCAAAGGCACGCCATTACCTAGTGATGTTACAATATTTTCAAAGTTATTTTCAGTCTACATATTATGTAACTCCTTGCACTGTTTGCTTTTTTCCCCTCTTTAAACCTGAATTGTTACCATTTCTTCAACAAACAGTATTAGGAAGTTACTTAGTACAACACTCCATCTTATTCCTGAGTTGCTACAGTTAATTTACAATCCATTAAGATGAATGAAAAAATCAAATTAACCCTTCTGGTGTGCAATGTTTTGCAATAGTCAACAGTGTATTTCATGTGCTACTATGCTGTGCAGGCCACACACGCAGCTTTATTAGGATCCTCTGGAGTTCTTTACTCTTCCTTGGTAATTTGATTTCATCTGCAGTCTCATTGTTCACCCACTTCCCAGATCATTAACACATGGATCAAACACCACAATACTGATCTTTGTGGGTAATGCATGTTAACCTTTATCATGCTGAAAATTGACTTCTCTTTCTTTTCTGAGTAGGGTCTTTGACACCTTTTAATTGATAATAGTATTAACCTGAGAGGTTAAATTTTCCCTTCAGCAAGACAATTTGTCAAAGGCTTTAAGAAAAACTAAACATGCATTTTCCTGATGACATGGCAAAGAATTCTGACTGACCTGAGATGCTTGACTTTTCTTCTTGGAACCTCTGCTTGTTTAAAGTTTCCACACCATGGTCATGTGGGTAATTTCTATTTCAGCCTATTTACCTGGTGTTTGTGGCAACTCCTTCTGCCAAGGATTCAAACCCATCAGGGGACAGGACAAAACATTCTGTGAATCAGCAAAGCTGGAGTGCACACTTTAATGTATCACATCTGTGAGTCTGATGACAGGAATATAGGTGTTTGATATGCAGTAAATTCACAGTCCTGCATCCTTATGATCTCATTTGACCTAAGTATCTCCTAATTTTCCCTTCTCTGTTTCATCCTCAAAGTTTGACCTCATCTCCTATCTCTGGGATCGATCAGCCAAGTTTGTTTTTTGGCAAGACTGTTGACCTTGAGAATATGGGCAGGCATCTCACGTTCCTCAGCTGCTTTGCCTGGTGTTACTTGAGAGGAATCCAGGGTTTGGGCCCTCTCAGAGACAGTGTGATGAGTTGATAAATGCCCATGCTTTGCCCAAAGGGCCACAATGAACTAGAGGTCATGGAGCAGTTACAGAAATCACTGCAGGTGCATCCATCTCTATTCCCACAGGGAACCTAGACACATTGCAGATTTGGTCCAACAACAGCTGACCGTGTGAAGGAAGATGAAACTTTGCTAGCTGAGACCAGATCTTAGCATCTCACAGCAAAGCTGAAACCTGCTGTGCGGGCTCTGGAGCCTCTCCCTACCTGAGAGTGCATCTGTGGTAAAGAATGGGACACAGCAACATGAGATTAAGGTTAAAATGGAAGGCAAAATAACCATAAAAGACTGTTCTGCACTGTGGAACTCCACAGTAAGAGGAGCTGGAGTTGTAATTTTCAAGACAGACAGAGGAAAGCACTATGAAACAGGAATGATAGGGAGATGAGCTGTACTGGCAGATTCCATCAGTGGAGCCCAAATCCCAACTTCTGTTACTTAAATAGCCCAACATTCACAGATGACCTCAAGAGTGCTTACCAAGGTACTTTCCTTCAGTGGAGAGAAAACAAAAATAAAAACAAAACAAACTGAAGATTATATAAATTTTAGAAAAAGAAGAAGAAGAAGAAGAAAAAAAGAAAAAGAAAAAGAAAAAGAAAAAGAAAAAGAAAAGGAAAAAGAAAAAGAAAAAGAAAAAGAAAAAGAAAAAGAAAAAGAAAAAGAACCTGGGGAAACAAGGAGCCTTCTTCCCCCAAGGCATGCAAACAGTGAGTGTTTGAGGGTGAATCAAGAAACAAGCCCCTACATCCTTTCCACTGAGGACCCTCCTGTTCCCTTCCAGCAGGCAGCAGTACATAGCAAGTTCTGGTTGGATGTGAATGCAAGCTTGAGAGCTAAAGCCCTTAACACGAAGATAGACCAAAGATTACAGCTAAGGTGACTCCAGCCATTCCAGAGTATGTGCTTTTCTTTTTTGGCTTCTGACTTTCTGCAAGTCTCATGGAGATCCTGTGCTGATTTTTAAACAGTCAGAGTGTCCCCTGGCAATGAGACACAACATCTTGAACTTCAAGAGGAACAGCTAAATGTTTTTTGCAAAGAGTTCAAAGTGATGAGCAGCCATTTTGCTTGGCTCTAGTTACCTTAATAGGAATGTAAAAGGAGAGAGACTTGATCCAACTCTCCTCCGTGCTGGCACAGGAAACTCCGTTACTATTTCTGTGCCCATGTAACAGGCTTAGAGGTTCTAAACATTTCGTTCTTTTCACCTTTCCTCATCATAGGTCATTCCTTCTAATCCCTTTAGCATCTTTGTGGTCCTTCTCTGGATTTGTTCCAACTTCCCTGGGTCTCTGTTGCAGCAAGGTGCCCTGAACTGCACAGTGCAATGCTGCAGCACTACAGGGGAGAGTCACTCTGGAAAGCACACAGCCGGGAAGACATATGGACCAACGGAGCAGTAGCTTTGCTAGACATCAGGATGCACATCGGCTCACACAATTTGATAGCCTGTCTCACTGGGACCTCTCTGAACATAAGCTGCTTTGGCCACCGTGCTTTGCACAGCACAAAATTTGGAGATTCTCCTTGTTCCAAAGTAGACCCAGTACCATCTTTGAATTACACAGTGCTAATTATCACTTGTTTTACCAAAGCCCGTTCACAATGATCATTTTTCAGCCTAGCTCTTATTTTTTTTCTATGCTGATTTTTTTAGTATTTTTTGGTTCTGTCATCTGCAAATTTGAGAGTGATCACTTTTATGTTCCTTCCAGGTCACCAATGAGTATTTACAGTCAAAGCATTGTCCTTTTGGACATCATCTTTGCAGAAGGATAAAGAATATCTCTAACCCTTCTGTTTACACTCTGTCATTCAATCCATTATTCATTTCACAGGATTTGTATCAAAACCAATTTGATCTAATTTCCCTAATAAGATTTTGCACAGCTTTGTGTCAAAAGCCCATGCATGGTCCAGAGTCAGTCTATTCACTGCATTCCTTTTGCTCACTAATTATCTAATTGCATCAAGACAGGTTATTGTCTGCTGTACTCCTGTTTCATAAACCCACTGCTGTTTATCACTAACAGTGTTCTTAGCCTTTATGTGCTCGTAACTGCCCTCAGAGGAGGGCGCTCTGACCTCAGTGATTCTGGATGTAAACACACAAGTTTAGACCAAGACAAGACTGTGCTTTAGGTTTTTATCCTTCAGCGTTCTCTCCTTTGGGCAGCAATGTTGGTTAATATTAAAAGTTTCCTCAATTCTTCTCCAGCCTTTCATATTTTGCTATTTCTCTGCAATGGTTGGTATTTAGCCATTAAAGACTTATGAGTTTAATGATCTTTTGAGAACAACAGCAATAATAAGAGAGGGAAAGATTACTAGATAGGGAGGAACAGAAAGGGACAGAAGACTGGAGTTATAAAATAAAGGCAGTTGTACCCCTGATTCTCATTCTTTTAAACATCAAGGATTACAAGTTTGGGATTGATGCAGGTAAGGCTATTTTATTGCACATCCTTCTGGGTTATTTTTGCCTGAAATACTAATTTGTACCTACATTCAGCTCTTTACCCCACTTATGGATTTGTGGGGTACTACAATAATTCAGTATGTATAAGTGAGAAAAAAAATGTCCATCACTCACACCTGCTTAGCAGGACAGCCAGAACACCCAGCTTTGTAACAGAAGGTAACTTCTCCCCTCCAGGGGAAA